CATGGAATGCCCTCCTCTCCATACCCTGGAGAAGCTGGAGGTCATAGGAGAGCCCGCCAGGGACCAGGACAGCGCCGCCAACAGGCCACCACCTGCCCCAGTGGCTTCACGGTCCCTCAGCGTGCCCCTGGCCAATCTTCTCAGCTGAGGCAGCGGACTGGCAGGGTTAGCTCCTGCTGCTCCTAGGTGGAGGGGCAGGTGACACTGCTTTCCTCAATGCCTGGGGACTGGGGCGGGGGGGAGGAAGATGGCGACCCTACAGTGGTTCTCAACCTGTGGGTCACGGCCCCCAAACAAGACCATCAGGAAACACAGGTATTTACATTACGATTCGTAAAAGTAGCAAAATGACAGTGATGAAGTCGTGATGAAAATGATTTTATGGCTGGGGGGGGTCACCACAGCATGAAAAACATGTATTAAAGATCGAGAACCACTGTCAGAAATTCCACGCCCCGGAGAGTGACAAGGTGAAGCTCAGACAAGAGACCTCAGGGACCTGAGAATAGGAGAACAGAAGCTTCTGGAAACAAACAAACAAACAAAAAACCAGCAGGGATTTGGGAGCTCAGGCCATGGTGGTGACAGGCAACTATGCCCAGCAACCGCGAAGGCAAATTTGGCGAGCTTCACCCTTGCCGCACATCTGCTCGACACCGTGTGTATTTCCCACATCCCCTTTCACCACAACAAGGCAGGGCCGTGAAGCTTCTGAAGAAACTGAAACACAGAGATCTCACAACACTGGGCCCATCAGCAGCTGGACTGAGAAACAGTCGGGGCAGATGAGGGATGTCTGGTGAGCACGCGCTTGCCAAAGGAGAGGGCCCTGAGTTCAGATCCAGCCTTTCCCATCCCTGCTCCCCTGTGTGTGCTTCCAACAGGAGCACTGACTCTGATCAGCTGAGCAGGATAGCACAGGCATGGTGCCCAGCACCCAGCAAACATTTAAGCAATTATGGGGCTTGTCACAGCCTCCTGTCCACTACAGCATACTTCTGCTAAAAAACAACAACAACAACAACAACAACAACAACAACAACAACAAAATAGTTGCAAATGAATTCATTTTTACTAAATAATATCGCTTAAACTTGAGAGACGGCTCTTAAGGACGCTGAACTTAGGGATTTTTGTTTAAACATATTACTCATCTTCAGTGCCCTAGGAGAGTCTTCCTGTATTTTGTCCCCTGCAAGGACACGACACTCCCCTCCTCACCCTGAGCACTTTTCTGCACAAGGAGCAGACCAGAATCAGCCAAGTGTTCCCATTCTCCAATGGGTAAAACGAGGCCCAGGAGGTCCAGAAAGACAAGAAAGGAAGGGTCTGTGTGACCCACCCCACGGACAGTGACACAGGCTCAGCCCTGCCCTGGGTCCCCAGAGCTGTAAGGGTAAGGGTGTCAGGTTTGTGGAACCTCTGTGGGTTCCCCGGGCCCCAGCCACGCCCAACCTCTGCTCGGATGTTTTCAAATGCTAAGATCCAATCAAGCAGGCTGGCTGGGTGGTGGAGGGGCCGACTTCCGGGGCCTGGGGTTGCTACACTCCACTTCCTGGTGAAGACAGAAGCCCTGTTTCTGCACCAGGAGGCCACTACCAAGGTTCTCAGGTCTCCACACAGCCCATAGAGGGCCCAGGTCCCCAGATCTATAAATCAGACAGCATGGGGGCACAGCTGGCATTGAATGGCAGGCACTGCTTAGCTTCAGGACCCTGGCACCCCATGTAATGACCCCACAGTTCCTTCTGTCTTGACTCTCCTTGACTCTTGGACCAAGTCTTGCTTAAAATAATGGAGGTAGCCATTGACCAAGATTTCAGAGAAACTGAATTCTTGGGAAGTCGCTGCAGCAGTGAGCTAGCCCAGGAAGAGGGAAGGGGTGGAGCCTAGCACTGTCCCCTGGCTCCCGGGGCAGTCTCAAGGGCCAGTGGTGGGGCGAGCCAAGGCACCTCCCCCTCCCCAGCACACTGAAGGAAGGAAGCTGAGCAAAGGCAGGCAAAGATAAGGAGGGGGCTAAGCAACACCAGGGACTCTCCTCGTGGTGTGGCCCGGAGCTGTGGGCTTGAGAGGGTCTTAAATGAACTCACCATGTGGCTTGGCTTCCTCCAATTTTTAACTTTGCCAACACTCATTTCTTGGTTGCCCGATTCCCTCCCTCCCCCCCCCCCCCATCTGTCAGGCCTCTGCTTCTACAGCATGGTGCTTACAGCCCTGCCTCTTCCCTCTCTGGCTTTCCTGCTCACCCTTCTCCCCCAGCCCAGGTAAAGGCCAGTCAAGCCTTGACAGTACAGGGATTAATGGCTAAAAGGATCACAGGCAGGCAGGCAGGCGGGCAGGCGGAGGGGGCTGATTGGGAATCTCTAGTGTGAGATTGACTGGCCTGGATTCAGGGGCCCATGGATCTGATTCCAGCCAGCAGGAGAGACCACAGTGTGAGGATCTGGGGGCCTGCTCACCTCTGGCCCTCTCCCCCACATCCTGAAAGTTCCCCTCTTTCTGACTCTAGGAGGTCAGGCCTCCAAGCAGTACTTTGTACATAGGCAGCTTCATCCCCAGGGTTCCCTTTCTAACATTCCAGGGCCTCTTTTCCCACACGCATCCCCGATCAGCCCCGTATCCCGGATCTCTCCCTGTCCACAGGGCCAGATCCCAGGGTTCACTCTCAGTGATTCTTGTGGAAAATCAGAAAGCACTTCAGTCAGAGATGAGAACAGACTTCCAGGATGTCAGAAAGACAGCTGGATTTGCCAGCAGCTAGGAAACTTATGGCGGTGGGTAGGTCTAGGCAACCCCTAATCCTTGCTCCTCCTCCTAAATGTGCCACTGGACTGTAGTCCCCACGCCCAGTCCCTTCAGTGACACAAGTGATTTCTGGAGGTGGGACGTAAAAAGAGATCCTCAGCCAAGGGGAACTCCCCCGAAAGCACATCACTGGCACCATCTATTTGCTCCCTTTTCCAGCCCAGTCCCACCCTCAGCTCTCTGATTAGAACCTGGGTTCTGTCCAGGCATTGTCTGCCTTGCACGGCCTGCTGCCCATTGAGGTCTGGCGTGTGCCGGGCTGGCTGATCAAGAGCCAGAGGGGATGAGTGGGTGGAGTTCTCACCTTCCTGGAGCCCCTGGAAAGGCTGGCTCTTCAGATGCTCAGTTTCCCCACAACTTCATCTACACAGGTCACTCCAGGGAAGGGTATCCCAATGACCTGGGTGCAGAGGGCAGGCACCATCCCTTCCTTGTGGTCAGGGTCCCAGAACCCTCCTGATGGTGGTCCTGGGAAGGGAACCCTAGCTTTTCCCTGACTCTCTACATTAGGTGCCCATGCCCCTAGGCTCTTGAAATGGGAACCCCATATTTTACCATGCCAGGCCCAGGCTGGGGGCATCTGAACCAAGGGGGAAGGCCTTTGTTTGGCTCTCTCCTGCAAAATGGAGTCTAAAGGGAAGCCCCCATGGAGAGGGTGCCCCATCTCCTGGCCTGTCAGTCCTGGTTCACACTGGTTGGGGGTTAGGGCTCCGTTTTCTTTTTATGGTCGGTAGCTCGCCTCTGCCCATCTGCTGTCGATGCCGTATTTACACGGCTCACCCGCACCCCCACCATGCGCTTCCCCTCGACCTCCAAGGGTTCCCCCTGCAATGTCAGCCTCAGTAGCAGCCCGGCTCCGCCCCACCAGCCCACCAGGCACCTGCAGGGCTCCTCTTTGTCTCAGGCTGTTCAGTGCCAGGGAGAGTGTGTACAAGTGATGTTCTAAGTGCTGCAGGAGCTGTGGGCTGGGGGCCCTCAACCTCGACCCCACACCCCCAGCACGTAAGCTATATACTATCACGGTGCCTTCTCTCGGGTTGCAGAGGTGGGCATCTGCTCTGAGGCAGGAAGAGGGAACCTATTCCATCACTTTCTCTGATTTTGCCGAGAAGCAACTTCCCAGGATCCCTGGAATCTGGGTCATCTCTGACCCAGGGGATCTGGAGATCGGTCTCAGAGACCCACCCTAGACTTTGACTACTCCCCTCCCCCATTCTACAGGACTGGAACATACGCTTCTGTCCATGCCCGAGTTGGTGACCAGCTCCTGCACTGGTACTCTCTCCCAGTATGTCCTCAAAGAGAAGACCCTGAACCCAATCAAGCGAGCAAGCGAGCAAGCGAGCTGGCAAAGAGCATCTCCACCCAGCACAAAGAACACAGATGTTCAACTTTGTAGCATTTCCTGGCCCTGCACCTGTGTGCCCCTTGCAACAGAACCCACCCAGCCATGTCCTCTTCCCTCCTAATGTCTGCCAAATCACTTTTAATACCTACAGATATTGGGACTCCAGATAAATCTAGGGGATCTCCCCCTTGCTCAGTTTCACCTATTTGCCTGTGAACGTAGCATTGGGGTCGTGCCACCCCTTTTCACCCCTTCGGGGGTTAGTCCCTCAGATACACCTTTCCCTTCCTCCGCTAGCTCCATCTCCTTTTGGGGCAGGACCAGCAGGGTTCTCTCCAAAAGCCATTGGCACCCCGTGGAAGGCCGAGGCACCAATCCAACCCTTTCATGGGTCCCACAACCGATCTTTGTCTGTAGTACCCGCTCCCAGGATGGTGAGCTGAATCCAGAGCATAGAACTAGCTAACTGGGGTAGATGGGGGGAGGGGGGATTCCCTCCTATACCCCAGAATGAGACAGCAGCCTCATGGGGAGGCGAAGAGGAAACACACAGACGCTCCGGCCTGGGCCAGGGCTGGGTGTGAAATACCGGATTTCCTTGTTTATTCGATTTTCTGATCATTATGGGCTCCCAAGAGGGGCCAGAAATTACCACCCAAACAAAGCCACCTTCCATCAGTCCGCAGGGCCGCCGCTCCCCTGCGGCAGCCGGGCCAGCGCGCGTCGGCCCCTCCTCCTGGACTGCGGGCTCCAGCTCGAGCGGTGCCCGCGCCCCCCGCCCCGAGTCCACGCGAGACAAAGCCCGAGCCCCTTCCTCGCACGCCCCTTCTCCGCCATCGGCGCTCACCTGACGGCCACTTTGACGCAGCAGTCGCCCTGGCCAGCCATGGTCCTCTGGCACTAGGGTCTGGGCGCGGATCAGGGGCGGGGGTCCGGGGGCCACAGCTCCAGGCAGCGTCTGCGGCTGCAGGAGGCGGAGGCTCGGACACTGCTAGCGAAAGCGACCTCGCAGGCTGGAGGTGACATGCTCGCAGGAGGCGGCGAGGGGCTCACCCGCGGCCGGCCCCACGGGGCTGGTCCCGCGCGTCTCCTCCAGCCATCGCGCCGCTGCGCTGAGCTAGCTGACAGCGGGCGGTGAGACCCGCAGCTCCCTACGGCGCGGCACACGCGCGCACACACCTCCCACCCTGGCCGCCACCTCCCGCCGCAGCGCGAACAAAGGGGGCGGGGGCCGAGCCGCCCCGGGACCCACCCCCAGCCCCTCAGAGCCGCACGGGGCTCCGCCCCTCCCCGGAGCCACCAATAGAAAGCCCCAACGAGCAGCAGAGGCGGGACTTGAGCCTTTAAAGGGACCTCTTGGCTCGCGTCCATCGGGTTGCTGGGAGGAGCTGGGAGGGTTGGAGGACTGGGAGGGGGGGGTGGGGGCGTGAAAGCCGGAGTGGCTTGATGGACTCATCGCTGGGAACTTGACCATTCGGGAACCTCGGCCCTTGAAGTCATGGTACCTCGGCTTCAGCGGGACCTTCCTTTGCTAAATGGGGAACGGGACTCAAAGAGGAACAGCCCAAGGTCATACAGCGAATCTGTGGCTAGGCATGGGTAAGAACCCTGGCCTCTGGGCAGTGTGCAGCATCTCAGAGCATCCCACAGCGATTAGCAATTCGCGATTTGAAAGAGCCAGGAAAGCGTCCCTTCTGCATTTTATTCCTGTAAATTCTCTAACCTTTATTGAAGGGGATTCTCGTTAACGTCTAAGTAAATTTCCCCACCTCCATCCTGCAACGTCTTTTGCTTTGATTGCTGGCCTGCTCAGACTCTCCCTGCTAGACGAGGGTCCCATTGACCTTTATGACCCACAGATGACCCACTGGGCCTGCTTCACACTCTGCTTTGTGACGATGGGGGCAGAGGGTCAATGTGGGAGGCCAGAGCTGCCTGGGAGGTGGTAGGAACAAAGGGGCATTTCACTCCAGATACCTGGGAGATGCTGGACGGCCGAGTGGGCGGGAGAGGAAGCCGGCCAGCAGCTTACCATCACAGCTTTATAGAAAGGACAGGGGCCAGCCCTGGAGACATCAACACAGGGTCTTGAGAGAGGACACCAGGGCTGTGAAGTCACAGTTCCCTTTCCAGTTCCCCTCCCCTCCCTCTGAGCCCTACTCCTCCCTGCCCCCCAACTCCCAACATTAGGGCCATTCACAGGGCCCCTCACCAGCTGCCCTTCCTTCACCGGCTTCGCCCAGCTCCCTCCTCTGGAAAAGGCCCAAGAGGAGGACCCAGCTGCAGCTCAAGATGTGGATGGAGACCTCTGGGGGAGGGGAGGCAGGGGAGCCTAACTCCCAAGCTTCTTGCATCAGCCTCAGATGATGAAACCACGTCAGAGATTTTGGCAAGTGTGTGGGTTAGGGTCTCAAGGATCCAGTTATTGGTGCCATCATCTCCCCCCACCCCACCCTCCGCCACCTCCCCACCCCCCACAATCTGCCCAGGAGCCCAGATCCCTGTTTGGAATCATTTTAAGGGGACATTTCAAAGTTATATATCAGAACACTGTTTGTATCCTCATAGCAAACAGGAAGAGAGCCATGTCCCAGAGTGGTGGTAGTGGTGGTGATGTGTGTGAGGGGTCCTGGTGAGACCCTACATATTAATATTAGCATCTGAAAACCAAAGCCAGCAAATCACATCTTTTAGAGCAAGAGGCAAGCAGGGCGTTGAGGGATTGAGACCCTCCCTGTCTTCCACCTGAAACAGGATGTAGAGAGGTGAGTGGTGCTTATGAACCATCTACACGGGCTTTATGTTCATCTTCTTCTTCATCCTCCTAACCTTATGGGCTAGGGTCTATTGTTCTTTTTCAATTTTGCAAGTGAATAAATAGAGTCTCATAAGTAGCAGAGGATTTGAACTCACACATGTGGCTCTAGGCTTCCTATCACCTCTAAGGGAATGCCCGTGGGGAAGGGAGCTGGACTGGCCCAGCTTTCCCTGAGGGTACCACAAGCTACAGGCTTAGCCCTCCTGGATGATAACCGTGTGTTTTCACCAAAATGCTCTCTCTCCCATCCATCTCTGGACTCCTTTGGTACTTAGTTGTGGTTTCCTGTTTGCCATAAGTCTTCTCGGACTTCCAACAGTAGGTGACCCTTCTGACTCATAGTTCCACTGCTGGGAAATGCCACCAGAGCTGTCCCCGTCTGTTCCTCTGACGTCCAGGCTGTCCAGTTAGGGTGAGCAAGGCGGTGCATGGGCTGCAGATGCAGGCCTCCTAGACATTCCGGTTCCAGGGTTCCAGTTTCCCCGCCCACTTCAGCAGCTCCTTCCTGGGCCATCCAGGAGCAGCTGGGTGGCAGAGGTCCAGACCCTGGACTCCTAGGCTCTGCTGTCCAGAGGGGAGGGACTAACTGCGCTGAGGTCATGTGGGGATCCCAGGTGAGAAAGAGGCTTATGCTTTGCAGTTTGGAGAGATTTAGATTAGGTCAGAGGAAGCCTAAGACAAATCTCTGCCCTTTTTGAGCTCTATCCAGCCTCAGCAACCATTGCTTTGCGGTGTTCCCACCTCCTACCTCTTCCCAGCTGCTCTTCTTTCCTTCTCTCCTTCCTAAATGCTGACGTCTCTCAGCATCAGCTACTGTATGAAGTTCTCAATGCTTCACACGTGCACACACACACACACACACACAGAGAGAGAGAGAGACAGAGAGAGAGAGAGACAGAGAGAGAGAGAGAGAGAGAGAGAGAGAGAGAGAGAGAGTTGGCCCCAATCCCTAACTGGACTAGAGTATAAGCCCTGACTCCTATTCTGAGCTGCGTCCCTTCCCCCAGGCATCTTGGGTCCTCCATCATTTCTCCTGACAGGAGCTGTGGGCGTCTGGGCAGATGGGAACCTAGGGGAGGTGTGGGAAGCCCCCTCCAAGTCAGGAAGCTCCCACGCAACTGTAGTTAAAATACTCCAGCAGTGACTTAGGGCAGCCATCTGGCCCAGAGCTCTCTTAGACACATTCCACTTTTTAACAGCAATGCTGTGGGAACAAATAAAGACACCGAAGGGATACCCATAGGTACCAGGAATGTTCCCAAGGGGGTCTGAACTTGAGTCTTCCTCCTCCCCCACCCCCTTTCGGGGTAGCACTGGGCGATAGCATTGTAAAGTCTAAATAAGCCCCAGTGTAAAGTGATAAGCTCGGAACCTGGAGTTCTAGTCCCAAGCCTTTCCCAGCAGCTGTGTGTGGTTCTGGGGGAGCAGAGGCCTTAGCCTGTCCTCCAACAGTGTCCTCAGCAGATGTCCAGCTATAACCTCCACTGTCCAGCCAGAGGCAGGGCCCGGTCTTCCCACCAGCAGGAAGCTCGAGACCCCAGAAAAGGTCCGCGGAGCTGCAGACTCAGGAGATCCGAGTGCAGACATGGACTGTGCCTCTCACTTCCTGTGTTTAGGAGGAGACAGACGAAGCCACGGAGGAAACCAGAGTCTGTTATAAATAGCAAGGAAGGCAGAGAGCTGTGGGTTTCAAACACCCATCAGTCTTAAAACAAACTCTATTTTTGGCTCCAAATAATAATTAGGATTTAATTAATGTTCGCTGTAACCTCAGACATGTTTCTATTTCTTTTTTTTTTTTTAAGCAGAATCTTTCCATGAAGCACAGGCTAGCACTGAAACTTGTGATCAATGCTAGCCTCAGCCTCCCAAGCACTCCAGGCATACCTCATTGTACGTGGTTTTCTCTCTCTCTCTGGTTTTTGAGATGGGATTTCTCTGTGTAGCCCTGGTTGTCCTGTAGAACAGGCTGGCCTCGAACCTAGAGATCTGTCTGCCTCTGCCTCAGAGTCCTGGGACTAAAGGCATGCGCCGCCGCCACCACCACCACCACCACCACCACCACCACCACCACCACCACCACCCTGCTATACATGCTTCTTAATTAAACGTGGTGATGTTACCTACCCTTCTCTGTACCTTTTTAACAGTATTGATGTGGCAATTCTCAACGTCACCCAGACTCAAAAAGAACCCCCGGGGTCACATTTTATTTTCAAGTGAAAAAAAAACTGAGTCCCAGGGAGGTAGGGACCTGTCAAAAGTTGCACAGTACAGTAAGTTGAGGCCGAGCTGCGGCGAGATGGGAAGTCTGGCAGCTGTGCAGTCCCAGGGCAGGCTCCATGGCAGCACGATAAGGACCCCAAGGCTAAACATCTGAAATTAGACTGTGGTGAGTTTATAGTCCTGACAAAACTTTGGTCTGAGTGAAATAACGAAAGACAGCCCAGAGGCTGAGTTGTGATCTTCTGAGTCACGGAGATCTGGGCTCACATCCCAGTTCTTCCCCTTGTGAGCTATGTAACCCTGGGCCAGTGATGTAACCATGCCCAGCATCAGCTGCCGCATCTCAAAACAGGGAGGATCACGTTCTCAGCTCAGGACCATGATGATGTCTCAATGGGAGAACCTGGACCACACATCCCACCCAGTGCTCGCCTCAAAATGGGTGTCAAATCCTTCACATTGTCCTCGGATTCTCCAATAGTCTCCACCTCTGTCTGGACAGAGGGGTGGGTTTATTAAAAAGAAGAATACCAGGAGGGAGAGGCACTCTCAGGAATGAGTGTGGACAAGGCCGGGAGGGGACAGGTTAGGAGGATGAGGTGTTGTTAGGGTGGGGGCTACCTTCAACGGTTGAAGGTTTGCCCTGCGTGCTTGGAGTCCTAGGTCCATCTAGGCCGTCAGTGTGAGGTCTGCTGGGGGGAGAGGAGAATCTGCAGGAACTTAGCCACCCTCTGCTCACTACACATGGCAGCAGCGCCTTGGGAGCCAGGGTGCTTTCCAGGAAGAAACTTTAGCCTTATGGACCCTTTTGTACACAGGTGATTCTGGACCACCTCCCCTAGGGGGCGGTCCCCTGAAAGGGAAGAGTTTGTACTCACGCTATAACCACATTGAACCGTGTTACATGTTCTCATCCACCCTCACAGTCATCTATGAGGTATACAGTTATCATGCCTGCTTTGCAAAAGAGGAAATGGACTCAAAGGTCACTTGGCGAGGGTAGTAGTCATTAGTGCTGTTCACATATTTCCTGCACTCTGCCTTCCAGCATAGGGCGGGACTACCTGTCCTTCATCCTTGGAGAGTAAGAGGCCACGTGACTTTAACCAAGGTGAAGGTTTAAGAGTCACGTTCACTGCCACACCTGTGTTGTCCAC